GCCAAGTTGCGCCGTTTGAGAATCCACTTCTTGCGCTCCTGAAGCAGGGGTAAGTATTCACGCAGCCATCTAACCCAGAAGTGGTTTGAGAGAATTTGGCCCCTTCGCCATTGCCTGCGGGAATACAGGTCTCTGTCTTGGAAATCTCCTGGCGGCAAAGACATCCCTTTTCGTTGTTGTAGGAGATGACTGGGAGTAATGGGTTCGCAGTCATCAGGGTCGTCGCTGCTTGGGCATAAAGGCCGACTGTTGAGTATTCCGACTGTCTCAGCAAAGACAGTTCTGAGGGTCTCCCTGGTAATGAAGGCATGAGGGTGACCTAGGATGGCCTTCATGGTACCACGGACACTCCTGATGAGTCGCTCCCACACCCCGGACATATGGCTGGCGGTTGGGGGGTGGAAATGCCACTTTGTCAATGGTTGGCAATGCCATTCGACATCTTTCTCATGCAGGGATCTCTGAATGATGTTGTGGTCCAGGTCTTGAATGGCATCTCTAATTTCCTTTTCACCACCAGTGAAATTGGTACCATTGTCACTCCAGACTTCCTTGACGGCCCCACGAATGTTAATAAAGCGTCGCAGGGCTTGGATGAAGGCGTCTGACTCTAAGGATCCAACATCCTCAATGTGGATAGCCCTGCAGGTGAGACAGACGAAGATGCATCCATAAACTTTCTCAGAGCTACGACCCCTCTTGACGTGGAAGGGACCGAAGAAGTCCACCCCCGTGTAGGTAAAGGGTGGCTCATGAGGTGTGAGTCTGGGCTTCGGTAGGTCTCCCATCATCTGTTTCATGACACCTTCATGTCGTTTGCGGCAGGCTATGCAGGAGCGTAGTATACGTCGGGTCAATGCGCGGGCGTTGAGAATCCAGAATTTCTGACGCAGTGTAGATAGCACATGTTCCCGACCTGCATGTCCAAAGATCTCATGGTGATGTCGAACAAGCAGTGTAGCAATGGGATGCTCGCTTGGGATCACCAATGGATGGATGGCTTGAAAGGCTACTGGTGCATGTCGTAGCCGGCCTCCAACGCATATTGTACCATTGACGAGGATTGGACTAAGTGTACTTAACTTACTGTCTTTCTTCACAGGTTTACCAGACTCCAAGGCTTCCAGCTCTCCTTGGAAATACTGCCGTTGGACCCTTTTTATGATGGCCTTTGAAGCGGTGAGCATCTCTGTTAATCTGATCCCGCCATGGTTAGATATGGCTGGTACACTGCATTTGGACCTGACAAATTGAAGAAAACGCATGATCAATGCCACAGTCCTGACCAGCTTAGGCCATGAGGAAAACTTCCTCAACAATTCATCCAAGGAGGAAACAGCTGTAGCTGTTATACTCTGATTGGTTCTCGGAGTGATTACTTCCTTGTCATTCTCCAGGATGTCACCCACTTTGCGGTGAGGCCAATGTTCCTCTGTTTGCCATAAGAATTTGGGTCCAGTCCACCAGCGGCATCCAGGGTGAAGGGCTTCTATAGGCATGCCTCGAGATCCATCATCCGCTGGATTCAGGGTTCCTGGGACATGATGCCACTGATCGGGTGTAGTATGCTCATGGATTTCCTCTAATCTGGTGGCAACGAAGCGATGGAATCTTCTCGTTTTGTTCTTGATATACTGGAGCACTGTTAGTGAGTCGGTCCAGAAAACAATGCAGTCGATGGGAAAATCAAGCTCAGCCCTAATGAGGTTGCTGGTTCGGACTGCCATCAGGCTCGCCATGAGCTCGAGGCGTGGGATGGTTGGTCTCCTGAGGGGTGCATTACGGCATTTACCGAAGACAAAGGAGCAGTGTGTTTGGTCACCATGGTTGTCACTCAGTCTTAAGTATGCAGAGGTTGAGTAGGCATACTCACTTGCATCGCTGAACATGTGGAGTTGAACTGTGCAATTGCTCGGCATACTTAAGTTCCTGTAGCAGCGAGGTAACTGGATCTCCTCAAGCTGTGGAAGAGAATGTGTCCAGCGTCGCCAAACTTTCAAATGGTGGTCTTGGATTTCTTCGTCCCATCCAACCTTCTCTTTCCAGAGATCTTGAATAAGCACTTTGACTGGGAGCACAAATGGTGACAGGAATCCGAGAGGGTCGAACAGCGAGCTTATGGTGGAGAGAATTCCACGCTTCGTGGCAGGTTTGGTGGAAGTCACTGTCTTGAAGCAGAATACGTCCCTCTCAGCATCCCAGTGAAGACCCAAGGTACGATTGATTGGTAATCTGTCCAACTCAAGGTTAAGAGTTGGATTGGCTCTTTCTTGGGAAGGAAGCGCAGACAGAACCTCTCTTCTGTTGCTCAAAAACTTGGTCAGGTGAAAGCCGCCCTCTTTCAGCATGGCAACCAATTTAAAGGCAAGGGTGATTGCTTGATCAGTTGTCTGAATAGACTTAAGGAGGTCGTCGACATAAAAGTTACGACGGACGGTTTCTGCAACTTCGCTGCCATACTTGTCCTCATTATCGTCAGCAGTTTGTCGCAAAGCTTTATTGGAGCAACAAGGGGAGGATGTGGCACCAAATATGTGGACCTGCATCTGGTACTCCTCGGGTTCATCACTGAGATTTCCAGTCCACCACAGGAACCGAAGGGCATCGCAGTCTTCAGCAGGTACCCGAACTTGGTGGAACATCTGTTCTATGTCTGCAATGAGAACAACCTCCTCCTGTCGAAACCGCATAAGAACACCTGCTAGGGTGTTGATATAATCTGGACCTTGTAGGAGTTCATCATTCAACGAAGTGCCTTGAAACTTTGCCGCTGCGTCGAACACTACACGGATCTTGCCTGGTTTGTTGGGGCTAGTAACAGGATGGTGGGGAAGGTACCAGGTCTTGTTACTTCTTTGTTCAGCATGTTCTTTAGTGAGCTTACGAGCATGGCCTTTGGCAATGTAACCATCGATAACTGAACGGTACTTCTCATGCAGGACTTCATCCTTCTCAAGGCGTCGCCCCAGGTGACGGAGACGTATTTCAGCCATTGCGCGGTTGAAGGGAAGGTCAGGTGGATCACGTCTCCAAAGGAGTCCCATGCAGTAATGGTCATTTGACTTTGAAATCGTGCTGTTAATAACCCGTTCGGCATACCTGTCTTCTACTGACATGGACTTGTAAGGTTTGGTAGTGCCAAGAGACTCCGACTCCCAGAAGAGTTCAACTTGATGGTGGAGGGAAATGTCATTGGCGGAGGTATGGATGTGGTAAACATTGTGGCACTGTTGTGTCGTTCTTTCACCTGATCTACCGAGGACAGCAAAGCCAAGGCACGAACGGATCGCGATGGGGTCATTTGGTCCTCCATGACGAACCTCCAGGGGAACAAACACTTCAGGAATATTTGTCCCTATGATGAGTGAGATCTTCTGCCTTTCAACTTCCGGAAAAGGAACATCTTGAAGATGCGGCCATCTTTCTTTGCTTATGGCTATGCGCTGGTGGCGCAACGGGATGTTGAGCTCTTTCCCAGACCACACTTCCTTAAGCTGAAGCTGTTGTGGCTGTTCGTCAATGAGAGACTCAACTGCAAGATTAACCCTTTCTCCCCTTTGAAGCTCATTGCAACTGCTCACAGTTGAGAGGAGTAAATGGTCAGGTCGGCCACAGAGTCCTAGGGAGCTGACCAATGATGGGTCCACGAGAGTGACTTCAGATCCGGAGTCTAGCATTGCGTAAGTGGTAACAGCCAACCCATTACTGCCAATTACTCGCACCGGTACGACCTGTAAGAGGACTGTTTCTGAATCCCCTGACCCTGCAGTGGGACAGACAGGCGTTGAGGTTGTGGCATTGACTCCTGAAGCTTGGTCCTCCGAAGTAGAATTTCCAGGTGTCTGCTGAGCCTGTGTTTGATGAAGGAGCGAGTGGTGGAAGGCACCACATCCTTCAACTCGACATCTGAACCTGCTGGGGCAGGTATCTGTTGAGTGTTCGGTACCCTTGAGGCAGTTAGGGCACAGCCTCTTCGTAGTAACGAAGGACATCCTTTCCTTTGGCGTCTTCGCCTTAAATGCTTCACATCGGTAGAGTGGATGTGCTTGACCACAGTGGCGACAGCTATTTGTTTTGTCTCTGCCTCTCTTTGGAGGCGTCTTAGGTGGCGGCCTCCCACCATCGTTGATATTCATTGTGTATTTAGGAGTGTCCATTTTCTCATTTGGTGGCAGCCGTTTGTTCTTGGAGTTGTTATTGTAGTTGAACTGCTGGGGTTTGCCACTGACTGGGTGGTTAGCAATGTTTGCATGCTTGTTCACAAAACCAACAAAATCCGTCAGAGTTGGGAAATGTTGGCCCTTTGTTTCCAAGTCACAGGCCAGTGTGGCAAACTTGTCCTGAAGTGGCTTTGGTAGCCGTTCTGTCATGTAAACAATGTTACCTTGGTTGACTTGCGACAGACAGTTCATGGACGTTAGCGTTGCAAGGGCTCTTGTAGCAGTATCAGCAAATTTCCGAAGGTTGATCTTGTCGCTGACAGATATGGGAGGACCCTTTACCAGACTGTTGATGACAGAGTTAACAATCACACACGGTCGTCCATACCGTTGTTCGAGGATTTGCAGTGCTTGATGGAGTCCATCTTTGGATGTCTCAAGGCCTGCTACTGCCTGTTTGGCGTCCCCATCTAAGAACTGCACTAGGCGAGTCATTTTGCTGCTATCATCCATATCTTCTCGTGACATCACTATGCGCTCAAAGCGTTGCTTAAACAAGGGAAACTCTGCAGGGATGCCACCAAATTTCTGAAACTGAATAGGTGGGAGGTTTTGGTTGTATGCAAGCTTTTGTTGAGTGGTTGAAATCTCTTTCATGGCTGTAGCAACCATGGCAAGAACTTCTCCCTGAACAGAAGGCATGGGCGTTGCATTCACACCTGAGGTGCCCAATGGAGGCTGAAAGGGCGTTGCCCAAGGAGAAAGGCTGCTTGTCACGGGCACGCTCGGACCACTNATGAAATAATTCTGATTGCAAAAAAAAGTGTTATTAGTTTGAACCATTTCTGATCTAGGGGCACTTTAAAAGTTGATTAATTTATTTGAAAATAGTACTTTAGATAAATTTCAAAATTCAAACATGGTGCAAAACCATTTTAAATGAGTGTACAAGCATGCAGCCCTACTCATTGAACTTAAAAAGTCTCCAAGTGAATGCAGTACCAGGTAAATACGTCTAAATTTCTGGGGGTTTGAGACATGACTTTTGTTAATGTGTTGTACATTGGCCCAGGGATATAATATATCAACTCACTAAAGATCACATTTGCTAATTTAAAGGCTGTGTTTTGGCGGTGTAATATAACACTCTCACATTGGAATACAAGTTTTCTCCTGGGATATGTAATAAACTGTCATTCATCACAGCGATCACATCCCCCACTGCACCCACAAGTATCTCCCCAAAGAACAAAAGAGGCCTTTTTAAACTTAAGGAAACTTGGAATTGAGAAAACAGATGAATGCAACCTGATTTCCTTTTCTCAAACTTTAACTGAATAACTTAGGAATAGGCAGATCTTACTCAGACCTAACCATGTAAAGAGAGAGGATTAAGACAGAAAGACTAGTCATACCTGCATTAAAGTGAGGCCAATCTTGGAATATAATTGGATCATTCAAAATGTTGGCCACAACAGATGCTGCCATAACACAGGCAATTTGTTTCCATTTCTCACCAAAAGACTGCCTTTCATCTACAAAGTCTCCGATGCCTTTAATTACCACCCATTCTGCATTAAAATCATGGGCTGCTGCAAACACATCTGAAAAAAATTCACCCTTGTCTGGTAACTATAAATGAACTAAAAGCTAATTTTCTTTGAATCATTGTCATGAAGCTAGGAGAAGAGTCTTGTTTTCCTTTTTAAACACTTTATTATTTATCCTAACCTTCTCAAAACCTTAGTATCTCGAACCTTATTTATGGTAGCGGATTAAATCATACTTTTTTCTGAAACACTATTTTTAGCAGCAAAAACTTTCTAGATGCTAAGGATGACATATCCTTAAACTAACTCAACAGAATGTTCCAGACTATAGAGAAGTTTCTAGTACAGCTTATAAAAATAGCGATGCAGTAAATTAATGTTCTTATTTGTCCCCTTGATTTCTGGAAACTTCATTACAATCATTTAGACAATAATTTTTCCATTAAAGTTCACAAAGATGCACACTCTGGTTGTTTGAAAACATGAAAATCACAGAAAGAGTTTAGTTGGTACCAAAGACTTATTTTCTCAACCAGTAATGTAAATGAAGAAGACATACACTGAGACTGTAAAATTATTCTTCAGGCTTCCCATTGTGTAATCATAATAACTTTCTACATTCCTCAAAAGACAAAGTTTTGTTAATTAGAGTTGACAGGGACTGTGATACTATTCCTAAAGCTCAAAACTTTTTGACAAGATGCTTTCTGCATTTTTCAGAAGAAAACTTTTGACAATTCAAGATATCCTGAGGGAGCACAATTCAATTGAGTTATCCAGAACACATCTTAGTCTCCTTCACCTGTAAAAAAGTCTTCCTAACCTACCCAAGCCAGACACAAAATCACTAAAACAAATACACAATACATCATTCCTGCAAAGTTGGTAATTTGCTATGTACATGATATATTTCTTGGACCAGCAGGGACGAATCCAGAGCTGTTTTTTTCAAACACTTGCCACATGTGCAAATATCCTTGACACATCAATTACTTTAATTCAGTAAGTTCTCACCTCCACTTTCCATTTCAACTGCAATTGCTTCAGGATGTTGGCCAATCATTTCCTTGTTTGCCTCTGAGATACTCAGAAACACTCCATCACAGTGTACTTTGGCATTATATTCATTAGCATTTTGTAAAGGTGCCTTCCACCCATCAGCCACATGTTTGATCAGGTTACCAATATCTCTGCTGGGGGGAGTTTTGTGTGCAGCTGTTATCAGCTTTGATGAAACAACTACATCTCCTAGCTTGATCTTTCTGCTGTTCAAACCACTGCAGGCACCAACAGAAAAAGTGGCCTTGGGTCTTAGTACCAAGATAGCATCTTTTGAAGTAGAGAAAGGGCCCCCAGGACCTTTGGACCTTTTGCACTTCATCAATGCGATGTTCATTTTCTTTCCTTGATCATCACTCATGTACCCAAAGTACACTGGGCCAATGCTGATGTGGTAACTCTTAAAGGGTTCCTTCAGGTAGGCAAAGCAGCTTAAGAACTCACAGTCCTCCACTGTTAATAACAGAATATCAACAGGGAGTTTGACATATTTGCTCCAATCAGAAGAGGTGTCTGGAAGATCACTCATCAGTGGAAGTGTAACACTGAGCTTTGGTGGGCTGGCTTTACTATTCTGTGCTGATCTATTCTCCCCTGACACTAGTACTGTCTCTGAAAACAAAGAATGGAGTTTTAATATTTTT